CTGCTAATCCACCTCCTTTCTTTTTCCCGCTGCTCTTAAAATCTCTGTCTGCTCGTATAGTCTGAAAGCCTGGCAGAGAGATGTGATGGTTTGAACTTCCTCTTTCTCTTGCCTCTTTGCTCCAGCTCTGCGTCCACGATTCCTCCTTTTCAACTCCTCTGGGATTTGCGGCTTCAGTTGATGTATTATTTCAGATTTTGCAATATTAATCAGCTGCTCCCTGTTGTAAACCACCCTGTTGCTATGGTTACGCATCATAACAAAAAGCAAAGTATAAAAAAAGTATTGGCAAAAACCAATCCAACTGCACAGCTCCCAAAACACAAATGAACAGGCGTCCAAAAAAGTTACTTTTTCTGCAGAAAGGCAAGAATGAACGTCTGAAAAGAAAGAAAATCTCAATAAAAGTAACAGAGCTACTCCAACGTGCTGCCACCCTCAGCGGCGCAATTCCGGAAAAATAATAAAACATTATAATGGCCTAAATAATAATGGTTCACATGTTATATGAACAAGTTTCACATTTAATCCTGCTCCTCGCCTCCAGTAGGCTATCTCACAGAAAACACAGTCTCCACTTTCAAATGAATTAAAACTCTTCTTTTTAGACATATTCAGGTTATGTTATTGTTTTCATTTGTTTTCTATATTCTGTATTTTATGTTGGGTTTTATTGTATGAAGTACTTCAGTGCCATGAAAGGCACCTTCAAAGAAAAGATTATTTATTGTAATCCACATTAATGGTGGACATGTTAAAATGATCAAAAATAAAAGAGGATTTGAAGACTCGTTCTAATCTGATTATTAAAAAATGTTTCATAAACAACTCAAATCTTTTCATTTCAGCTCTTTGTTAAAAACAGATCATTAACCTGTCAATCTGTAAGGAAAGAAAATTATAAGAATTAAAACTCTTTATTCCAAAACTTTATCAATAATTTTCACAGAGATGTCATCAGATCAATAACTGAAGATTTTTTAATATAAATAAAGTTTTGATTAATAATTAAACAAATTTCAGGTGTTTCTAAGGTTTCCAGATAAATCAGTTTTATGCTCAGGTTGTGGGTCAGAACTTACCTGGATCTGTTCCTGGATCTGTTCCTGGATCTGTTCCCTCCTGGACTGAGTCCGGTCCAAAGTCCACAGAGAGTCTGCCAGGAAGTTCTGGTTCTGACATAAAAACACCAAATAACAAAACCTGCTGTCCAACTGCAGCTGTAAAGCCCCGCCCACCTGACCCTGTGTGTGTGTGTGTGTGTGTGTGTGTCCCTCTATCTGTAGGTCTCAGGTGTGTGTGTGTGTTTGTGGGTGTGTGTGTCCCTCTGTCTGTAGGTCTCAGGTGTGTGGGTGTGTGTATATGTGTGTGTGTGTGTGTCCCTCTGTCTGCGGGTCTCAGGTGAGTGTGTGTGTAGGTGTGTGTGTGTGTAGGTGTGTGTGTCCCTCTGTCTGTAGGTCTCAGGTGTGTGGGTGTGTGTATATGTGTGTGTGTGTGTGTCCCTCTGTCTGCGGGTCTCAGGTGAGTGTGTGTGTAGGTGTGTGTGTGTGTAGGTGTGTGTGTCCCTCTGTCTGTAGGTCTCAGGTGTGTGGGTGTGTGTATATGTGTGTGTGTGTGTGTCCCTCTGTCTGCGGGTCTCAGGTGAGTGTGTGTGTAGGTGTGTGTGTGTGTAGGTGTGTGTGTCCCTCTGTCTGTAGGTCTCAGGTGTGTGGGTGTGTGTATATGTGTGTGTGTGTGTGTCCCTCTGTCTGCGGGTCTCAGGTGAGTGTGTGTGTAGGTGTGTGTGTGTGTAGGTGTGTGTGTCCCTCTGTCTGTAGGTCTCAGGTGTGTGGGTGTGTGTATATGTGTGTGTGTGTGTGTCCCTCTGTCTGCGGGTCTCAGGTGAGTGTGTGTGTGTGTGTATGTGTGTGTGTGTGTGTCCCTCTGTCTGCGGGTCTCAGGTGAGTGTGTGTGTGTGTGTATGTGTGTGTGTGTGTGTCCCTCTGTCTGCAGGTCT